CAGAGAGAGAGGCAGAGAGAGAGGCAGAGAGAGAGGCAGAGAGAGAGAGGCAGAGAGAGGCAGAGAGAGGCAGAGAGGCAGAGAGGCAGAGAGAGAGGCAGAGAGGCAGAGAGGCAGAGAGGCAGAGGCAGAGGCAGAGGCAGAGGCAGGCGGATTTCTGAGTTTGAGGCCAGCCTGGTCTACAGAGTGAGTTCCAGGACAGCCAGGGCTATACAGAGAATCCCTGTCTTGAAAAACCAAAAAATGGCCCCTACAGGCTATTTGTTGGAGGAAGTGTGTCACTGTGGGTAGGGTCTGAGGTTTCAAAAGCCCATTCCAAGCTCAGTGTCTCTCTGCCTGCAGCCTCAGATAGGGGTGTAGAGCTCTGAGCTCCATGCACCATGCTGCCAGTAATGATAATGGACTAAACCTCTAAACATGTACGCCAGCCGCAGTTAAGTACTTTCTTTTGAGTTACCTTGACCATGGTCTCACTTCACACCAATAGAACAGTGACTAAGACACCACGGGAACAGCAAAATGTTACATCTTAGACAGGATGGGGAAGAAGATGAACACTAATCATATGGTTAAATGTCTTTTCTTCCCCCAGTAGTTAAAAGAGTAGTTTCTTTATTTTTTAAAAAAAAAAGTAAAATTGGTAAGATTGTTATCACTGTATTATTGCAACTTGACTGTTTGGTTTGGTTTTTTGAGACAGGGTTTCTCTGTGTAGCTTTGGCTGTCCAGGAAGTAGATCAGGCTAGCCTCGAGAGACCCATCTGCCTCTTGAGTGCTGGGATTAAAGGCATTCGACTCCACCACTACTCAGCAGCAATTTGCTCACCTCAGTGCACAGGCCTGTAATCCCAGCACTCAGGAGGCCGGTTTCATCTACACGGCGAATCCCAGACTAATGGTGGGACCTAATCTCCAAACAAACAGCAAACCTACTAACGTCACTCATAACACTGACCCTGTGAGGTAATTGGTGACAGGGAGCAAGGCCTTTCCCCTCTGTGCTGCCTAAGCTGGCCTTATGGACCAGGTCCAGCTCTACAGAGGCCTCTTTTAAAATCGGGCCTGATACATGGTGGGCAGTTTTACCATTTGAGCTATATCTACAGCCAAGAACAGAATTTCTAAAGAGGCCTTTCAGCCTGACTTAAGGCAGTCTTCAAGTCAACTTATGAATATATTGATTTAGTGGTCTCCATGATGACCCACTAAGCAAAAGTCCCCAGGACACAAAACCCCAACGTCATTTCTAAATAGTAACAAAGAAAGCGAAGGCCTTAACAACAACAGAAACATGATTTGGGGATGATGCTGTAGAGGAAGGCCGGCAGCCTATGAAGCTGACAAGTGACTCTGGGCCACTACAGGAAACCCGTAACCCATTCCATCTGTGGCTCCACACAATGGGTTCTGCAAGGCCAGCAATTCAGAGTAGAAAGTACTCTGTTGTACTGAGAGAGAAGCAAAGATGAAAACCCGGGATTTCCTCCCATTAAACTCCCATCAGAGAGGCTCCCAACTTTCTGTAATGCTGAGAACCCAAGTCAGGGCCCCAAACATGCTGGACAGAACCACGGACTTGCCCCCCCACCCCCGGCCTCTTATTATTTGATTTTGATTACATTCACTCATTGTGTGTATCCAGTGAGGTACACATGGAAACAGCATACAAACAGAGGCCAGAAGACAGCATGTGGGAAATGGTGCTCTCCTTCCAGAGCCTGGACTCACTCAGGCCGTCAGGCTGGGCAGTAAGTGTCTGTACCCTTTACCCACTGCACCATCTCCGCAGCCCAGCCCTAGGACTTCTGAAATCATTCTCTCTGATGTTCCACTCAAGTCTACTTGGAGGTTCTAAGCTAAGAACAAAGCACAGAACATTTTTGAAATTTTTTATTATTTTACGTGTACGGTGTTTTGTCTGCATATATGTCTGTTTTCCACATGTATGCCTGATGCCCACTGAGGTCAGAAGAGGGCATCAGAACCACTGGAACTGGAGTTAACAGATGTTCCTGAGCTGCCATGTGGGTACTAGGAACTAATCCTGGATCCTCTGCATGGTCATCCAGGGCTGTTAATCACAAAGCTATTTCTCCAGCTCCAAGGGTATATACTTTTGCCTATATTCCCAGCCTTTATATCTTAATAGTTATATTGTTTCTATACGGTGGTCTTATATCTCATGAAAAAATGGCCCCAACACAAGTCATGAAAACTTAACATTTGAAAAGACTACATTTAAGCGAGAAATTAAATATAGACGGAAAGAGAATACTGACTATACAAAGTTGTCCTCTGACCTTCATGTGGGCATGGTGACATGCACACCCACACAGAAACGTCATACATGTACGTACAATAATAAAATTAAATTAAAATTTTAAATTGTTTTAGAATGTAATAAGGTTGGAGAGCTGGCTCAGAGAGTCAATCTTAAAACCCAACAATATAAGACTCTCATCTGTAATCTGTAAGCCTTGTAAAACTTAAGTGTAAACCAGTTCTTCTTGAAAGGTAATTTGACCATCTTCTTAAAATCTTTAAGTACCAATATTCTTTTAGAAGCAATTTGAATGCTAATTTAATTTACAGAAACAACTGCGTAAGAGAGTTCATCGCACCCTTACAGCCAAATCAACACAAGTGTTTATCAATCAGCAAACTGAGCAGAGAACAAAGCAACATCTATGTAATGGAGCAGTGTAAAAGGCATCACGACATCCAACGATTTAAAGGAAAGCTATGTGTGGGAGACAAAACCAAGACTCTTGTGGAAAGGACAGCATATAGCAAGTGCGGACAACAAACAACAGTGCATACCAGAGAGGCAGGTCGAGAGCTGCTCGTCATCCACTGGAGACGCTGTCTGGCTGCTCCTGCCACCTGCCATTTGGTTTTCTACTTTGAGTTCACTGCACACCAAGGGAGCGTCCAGTGGACTTTTACAGTAAGGGTGGTCCAGCAGCTTAGAACTAAGAATGTTCTGCTTGAGAGACCCATCCTCCTCCATCTGGCAGTTCTCGTTCTGCTCAGGCTCCTCAGACACAGGTCCATCTACACTACTCACAGATCTGTCTGCTCCAGACACTGACAGTTTCACTCTGTCATCGATGACAGCACTTGTCCCGCTTTCCTGACCCAGAGTCATAAGTGCTCTTTCAGTCTCCGGAGTGAACTTGTCACTAGGATGTTCCATCAAAGGGATCTCATGAATCTGCTCTGTACACTCCCACTTAGGAGAAGAGGATGCCTGGTCCCAAGTGTATGTGGCACTGCCATTCTGCTGGTCAGGGAATGCTTCATCTAAACCATGCTCCTTGTCCAAGACAGGGCTTTCTTTAGTGTGGCCATCAGGCACATGACAGTTTTTTCCCTTCACCACAGCACTGCTGTCCATGTCTGGAAAGTATGGCTGACACCGACAAGGGTCTTTAGGTTCTAGGGAAGGAACTGGGCTGCAACTGCCACCCTCAGTGTTAATATCCCTAAGGTTCTCTTGATGGTCCCCAGTGACCTTCTGCACCCAGCTTCGCTGAGCTTTTCTTAGCTTGCAAACTCTGCTTTTCGTTCTGAAGTGCTGGGATCTGAAAATCCTATACCGAAACTTAATCATGGATAATTTCTCATACATCATAAGAGACACTTTGACTCTTCGATGTTGGTTAAGTTGGAACTTTTTTGGAATCAGGGGTCTCCTGTTCCTGTGGTGCTCTAGCCCTTGGTAGCAGCCATAACAAACTCGCTTTCTATGTTTGTTCAAGACCACAGTCTTGCCACTGTCACCTGGACTTTGGCTCTCCCCATTGAACTTCATGGGAAAGTCTGAAGCTTGTAGGTCTGTGCTAGGTTTGTGACCATTGGCCTTACCTAAAACAGTATTTGCTGACAAGCCAGTAACTGCCTTCAGAAGGCTTTTCTCTTTACAGTATTCATGGTCCAAGTTCTTTGTTGAAGACAGTAATTTATCTGCTTGGAGTTTCAGGAGACTCCTTGAGGAGGAAATGAAGTGTTTAGTGTCCTTTCTTTTCACTTTGGGGAACAAAGTACTAACATTTTGAGTAGCCACTCCAGACTTTGTCTTTGAACAAAGTGGTACATCCTGGATCCATGTTTTCTGGATGTGAAGATCCTTCTTATTACACTGGAAATGCTTCAACTGCCGATGCCAAACAACTGGCCTTCCCAGTTTAGCTTTCAGAAAGCACAAGTTTTGGGGAAAGTAAAACTTCTTAAAGCTTCCAAACCCCGCATTCCATTTCTCAGAAAAAGCTAAGTGAATTCCTTTCTTCCATAGAATTTTCTTCTGTTTTTTCATTTTTCTGATGCATACTGAGAACTGGATGTACCTATGAAAGAAAACAACGTGTAAAGAAAATTTCAATTTCAATGTAACCATAATGTCATAAAGACATATAGCAATTAAGATCAAAAACTGAAAGAGAACCTGTGCACTTCAATTTATTCTGTCAGCTCTAAGGACATCCTACCTGACTGAGGTTCCCATTGCAAGGTCTGGGAAGAAGGAAGGCATGAACATTTAACACGTCCCATTTTCTCTATACTTGGTTCTGGTGGAGATGTTTCTAGAACCATTTCTGGCATGCCTTTAATCCCAGCATTCAGGAAGCTGAGGCTAGGTAAACCTCAGTCTTTGTGAGTTCCAGATCAGCCTATTCTATGTAGTAAGTTCCAAGTCAGCCAGACACCTTATACCAAAAAAACTTTTCCCAATTCTGAGGATTTTTTTTGTATGTACATGAATATATTTCTCCTGCATGTATATAGGTTCACCACTTTTAAGTGTCTACTGCCTGTAGAGGCCAGAAGAAGGTGCTGGACTCCTGGAACTGTAATTATGAATAGCTGTGAACTACCATGTGGATGCTAGGAACTGAACCTAGGTCCTCTGCAAAAAGCAACACGTTAACTGCTAAGCCATCTCTTTAACCCATTGTATCAGTTTCTAATAGAACACATAAGGAAAAAACAAAACAAAAACAAAAACAAAAAACAGAAGAGAATTTCTGGGGTCTTATTACTTGAGCTACCTTGCCAGACACAGAATTTCTAGCATTGACTCTCTGTGTTCTCAATTGTAAAGTGAAAGAAGAGGGATCAAATACCCCTTCAAGGAATTTCATAGCTACTAATTTGGTCCACAGTCATCACCCTCAAGGAGACCAGGTTCCATTCCACTTTTACAGTCAGAGTCTAAGTGTCTAGAAAGGAACAGGACTTCATCAGGTGCTCTTCTATAAGGACCACAGACAAACACAAGTGCACACAGAATTTCAGGAATAGCTGACAGAGGTAAAAGAGGAGAAGGAATAAATGATAATTAGACATGAAGTTGGTGGTGTAGTCAATGCCAGCCCTAGCATGCACAGGTCCTATGTTCAATGTATTGACATGATAGGGCTGGAGACAGATTATGTGCCTCGCATGCATAAAGCCTTAGATTCAATCCCCAGCATAAAACCAATCATGAAGGTGCACGTGTGCACACACACACGTGCGCCCATTCTCATTCTCTCATTCTCTCTCTCTCTCTCTCTCTCTCTCTCTCTCTCTCTCTTTCTCTCTCCCTCTCTCTCTCTCTCTCAATCCCAACACTCGGGGAATGAAGAAGAAAGATCAGAAGTTCAAGGCCTTGGGGCTGAAGAGATGACTCAGAAGTTAAGAGCACTAACTGCTTTTCCAGAGGTCCTGAGTTCAATTCCCAGCACCCACATGGTGACTCACAACCATCTGTAATGGAATCCAATGTCGTCTTCTGGTGTGTCTGAAGACAGCGACAGTGTACTCTCATACATAAAATAAATAAATCTTTAAAAGAAGAAGAAGAAGAAGGAGGAGGAGAAGGAGGAGGAGGAGGAGGAGGAGGAGGAGGAGGAGAAGTAGTAGTAGTTGTTGTTGTTCAAGGCCTGTGAGAGAAGGGTCATCTACAGTCTTACCCAGACATGAATCCTTCAAGCTACAACCTACTGGAGCAATAATGACACAAAGTTATGAGGACACCAAACAATCCCCAGTGAGATTAAAGCTGGTGAAAACTCCATGACTGGGAGGTGACAGGCCCTACGTGTAGCCAGACTTGGTGGTATACACCTTTAATCTCAGCAGAGGCTGGAAGATCTCACCGTTCAAATTGCTAATGAGCTAAGGCCAGCCAGGTCTACATAGCAAGTTCCAAGTCTGCTAAAGCTACATAGTGAGACCTTGTTTCAAAAAATAAAAAGCAGATCAATGAGTAACACACTTAGCGGGTCAAAAAAGCTAAAACCTAAGGAGATCAAGTAAGCTACATGACGTCAGAAAGGTCCTAAATTAGAAGTGACAATACCTCTGAAGGTTGGGAATATGGATGGCGCTGAGCAAGGAAAACAACACCCCATACACAATTTCCTGCCTCATACCCCGAGAGAGAACCTGCTCCCTTCTTGGCAAGGATGAGTCGGGAGAGTCACACCAGTAGGAAAGCACAGTGAATTCCTGTGGGAAAGTCGCCCTCTTACCTTATAAGTTTACGCTGCTAATGAGGAACCATTCCTTCAGGATGAGAGAAGGGCATGTAAGAAGATTATAGATATTTAACACTCCCCTAACAGGCTGAACAATTACTCCTCAGGGTGTTCTGAAGTCAGAGAAATGTCTTAGGCTCTGGATCCTAATCACACCACCCCTTCCTTCCCCCAGGAGTAAATACATGGACTGTGAGGACAGTCTGAAGGAGAATGCTATACGCAATGAGACACATTTTTTGTTTATTTTTTCCAGACAAGGTTTCTCTGTATAGCCCTAACTGTCCTCAAACTCAGAGTTGCCTGCCTCTGCCTCCCAAGCACTGGGATTAAATGCATTGAACCACCCACCCCCAGCAAAACATACTTTTTATTTCAACTCACCCTCTTAAGATTGTGGCAATCTCTGATTCATCCTCTAAAATAGTTGATTAGTTTGTGGAAAAAAAAAAATCCATAAACGTACCCAGATTCCCCTACAATGGCCTTGCATGGCCCATAGTGTACCCAAATTTGACAAGTCTCATGCATTCAAGGTTTCCCATAGCATCTTAATGCACACTGTTTAAGGCTGAACCCCGGACCTCATACTGGATAAAGATGTTCATGTTAGTATTCTGTCTAAACTCCACCTCCACAGTTATCTGGCAACACCTAGATATGCTCGTCCCCACAGTTACCTGGCAACAGCCAGGTAGGCGTACCCACTATAAAAGGGGCTGCTTGCTTCCTCCTCTCTCTCTTACTCTCTTACTCTCTTGCCTCTAGCTTCTCCTTGCACTTCCTCCCTTCCCTTCCCCCTCTCTCCACGTGGCCATGGCCGGCCTCTACCCTCTCTTCTCTCTCTCCTCCCTCTCTCCCACTCTCTAGTAACGAACTATAGAAATGATCCCTGAAAGTATAGTCTTTCTCCCACTCTCTTAATAAACCTCCCCTCGTGGAACCATCTAGTCTGCTGTGATCTGTCCAAGCTGCGCATGACCTTTTAGTTCACCCACACACCTGCAGCCCCATTCTTAAAAATCAACAATCACCAAGTATGGTGCCACCTCAGCACTCAGGAGACAGAGGCAGGTGGATCTCTGTGAGTTCAAGGCCAGTTTGGTCTACATAGTGAGTTCGATGACAGCCAGGGCTACATAGCGAGACCCTGTCCCTCCCCCAACCCCATCCCACCCCACCCTCACACAAAAAGGATTAACTACCAAGAATCACCAAACCTCTGAGGAAGGAAAGTAAACAGCTTCCCCCCAAGTACCTTCAAAGAGAACTCCCTTGTTTTGACTCAGTAAGACTAATTTTGAGCATAAGGCCTCCATATCTGTGAAAAAGAAAAAAAGTTCTACTGTTTCAAAAACAGAAAGAAAGAGAGAGAGAGCTGGAGAGCTCAGTTAGTGGTTAATAGCACTCTGCTCCAGCCAAGGACCCAGGTTCAGATCCCAGCATCCATATGATGGCTTACAACCACCCATAACTCCAATTCCAGAGGGCCCAATACCCCTTTTGATGTCTGAAGACTTATGTACAGATGAGATGCACATACATTCAAGCATACACACATAAAATAAGTTTAAACAATAATTTTTTTAAAAATTAAAACCGCCGGGCAGTGCTGGTGCACGCCTTTAATCCCAGCACTTGGGAGGCAGAGGTAGGAGGATTTCTGATTTCGAGGCCAGTCTGGTCTACAGAGCAAGTTCCAGAGCAGCCAGGACTACACAGAGAAACCCTGTCTAGAAGAAAAAACACAGCAACAACAAAAATTCTACCTGAAAAGGCTGCTTCAAGCACCAAGGAAGACCCTAATTTATTTCCACCCAACACCAACAGGTACATAATGGGCTACCCTTGGGCAGAAGGCAACTATATTGTCATCTAGTTCTAGGTGCACACAGATGAGTCTCAGGCAGGGCCAACTGTGGAACCATTACAAGTTGGAGCCCCACTGAGCCCCTGCATTAACTTTAACCTCAGAATGTAAAATTTCTTGTCTCTAAAGACTAACCACTGCACTGGTTCCTTCTATTAACTAACACACACACACACACACACACACACACACACACACACACACACGGTGGGGAACCAAGACCACCACAAAGATTAGGAAAACACAAAACAGAAAATACAATTGCATCAATGAAAAAAAATTATAAAAAGCTTAACAAAGTCATGACATATAAAGTGTTAATATTCCCAATACATAAAGAGCTCTTAAATTAAGAAAGAAAAGACAAACCAAGCAGTGGTGGCACATGCCTTTAATCCCAGAGCTTAGGAGGCAGAGGGCAGTTGGGACTTCTGTATTCCAGGCCAGCCTGGTCTACAGAATAAGTTCCAGGGCAGCTAGGGCTGCACAGAAAAACCCTATTTCAACAAACAAACCAACCAACCAACAAACAAACCCAACAAACAAAAAATAAAAGCTTGATAACCTAATGAGAAAAATCCATAAGGAGGCAATTCACAAATATTTCCAAATAACCCTCAAACATAAAAAAATGTTCAACTTCACTCCCCCCACCAGGGTTTTTCTCTGTAGCCCTATCTATCATGGAACTCACTTTGCAGACCAGGCTAATCTGGAACTCACAAAAATTTGCCTACCATGCCTCCCTACTGCTGGGATCAAAGGCATGTGCCAACACCAGCCAGCTCAACTTCACCCTTAAGAGGTCAATGGTCGCAGAGCGGTGGTGGTGCACGCCTTTAATCCCAGCACTTGGGAGGCAGAGGCAGGCGGATTTCTGAGTTCGAGAGTTTGAGGCTCGCCTGGTCTACAGAGTGAGTTCCAGGACAGTCAGGACTACACAGAGAAACCCTGTCTGGGGGAAAAAAAAAAAGTCAATGGTCTAGGGTTATGCTCAAAGATAGTGTTAATTGCATGTATCAAAGTCCCAGGTTTAATCAGCACTGCCAAAGAAAAAGAAAAGTTGTAACATTCTCCTTCAGAAGTTAAGCTACTTTTTTAACAGTTGAGTGGATCATCCCCGCCAACCAAACGTTACTTTCTTTCTGTTTGAAGGTATCACTCTGTAGTCCAAACCTACCTCAAATTAAAAATCCTCCGGCCTCTGACACCTAATTGAAAAAGGCATTTTCATACTTTGCTGATAGAATTCCAAACTGATGTAATCATCTTGGAAGAGAATTTGGGAAGATTTTATAAAAACCACAAATTATTTATCCCTAAACTGGCAGCCCCACTTTAAGCAATTTAAACTGGAGACACAGCTGTGATACTAATGAAAAGGCTATCTGTTGAAACATTGTTTGTAATACCAAATACTCAACCAATGCCCACAGGCAAGAGCATGGCTGAATAAACTACTTATCTATGTGATGAATGAGGCTTCTCTGGAGCAAGGATTCCCTAGCGCCCAGCACACAGTGATTTACAGAAGGCATCCTTAGAGGAAGAGAGCAAAGTTCACAGGTGGAAAGGTGGACAAAATGAGGAGGGAGGGACACTTCTCTGAATGTCCTTTTCCTCCTGGTCTGGCCTTAGGACCCAGCTAATGCTTCATATACTTAAATGAACCTGGTGTGCTCGCCTTCTTTTCCTTTTTGCAGTACTGGAGAATTAAACTGGGACTTCGTGAATGCCCAGCAAGTGCTCTACTGCTGAGCTACATCTCTTAGCCCCTGAATTTCAAATGACTAACACAATCATATATAAAAGCAGAAAATTAACAATTTTAGAAAATGATATTCTGACTACATGCTCAAGAGCGAAAGACAAAGACTACATACAGGTACTGTACAATGCATAGAAAATCTGCTTTTTCATAGAAGTAGGAGTCAATTCTGATTATTATCAGTATTCTAAAGTTGAGCAAATAAGTAAAATGTGTGGTGGATAATTAAAGCTAGACTTTCCACCAATAGGGAAACAATGAATCATGAAATGATGAGGAGGAGGAGGAAGGACAAAACTAGAGGTACCACTATGAACTCAGTGTACATACACATACATATTTTGACTGTCAATGAAGCAACACAATTCCAGTATAAAGTGAACACCCTAACAACCAGACCTTAGTTTCTAAATATAATTGTCTACTGAAAGAAATTGTTAAACTCAGCATGGTGACTCAAGCTTGAAATCCCAGTGCCCTGGAGGCTGAGACAGGAGCATAGGAAGTCAACATCATCACTGGTTACATAGCCCATTGGAGGGCCAGCCTGAACCACAGGAGACTGTCTCAAAAACAAAAATAAAATAAAAACCTAGAACTGGGAAGAGAAAGCAAAAGAAAGATGAACCTAAAATGTCACTGTGATGCCGGAACACACTGGGACTCAAAAATAATGTCATGTCAAAAAGACATACCAACGGGAAATCTCACGATGCCCAAAAATCCACTGAGCAACCAAATACATGATAAGAATATAATAAATACCGTGTGTGTGTGTGTGTGTGTGTGTGTGTGTGTGTGAGAGAGAGAGAGAGAGAGAGAGAGAGAGAGAGAGAGAGAGATTGACTCACTATATAACCTTGGCTTGCCTAGAACTTCCTATGTAGACCATAGTGATCCCAAACTCATAGAGATTAGCTTGTTTCTGCCTCTGGAGTGCTGGGATTAAAGGAATGTTATTACTATGCCAGATATAATTTTGAAAGGTAGCAAAACAGGCAGTAGGGACATTCCTTACAAATAATTTCAAATTAAAAAAATACAGAATGAGTGAAAGAAAAAAAAAAACACAACATCTCTTATAAGTAACAGGTGCAGCCAGGTGTGGTCACACTCCTGAAATCCATGTGGGTAGGAGGTTGGCACAGGACTATCACTAAGTAGCCAGACTCTATCTTAGGGGATATGTCTAGAAGATTCCTCAGTGGGAGAAATGCTTGCTGCACAAACATGAAGACCTGATTGTGGGTTCCCAGGACCCACATAAAAGCCCAGCACAGCAACACATTCTTACAATCCCAGGACCAGGTGGGGATAACTCTTAGGGCTTGATCATCAACCAGTAAGCCAAACGGGTGAGTTCCAAGTTTAATGAAATTCTGTCTCAATAAATAGGCTGGAAAATTCGCACCAAGCACTTCCACACAGGCAAGTGTGCCCCTCTACACAGTTGGGAAATATCTTTGAAGTTCTGAGGGAAAATTCTTTTCTTTTCTTTCTTTTCTTTTCTTTTCTTTTTTTTTTTTTTTTTTTTTTTTTTTTGATTTTCGAGACAGGGTTTCTCTGTATAGCCCTGGCTGTCTTGGAACTCACTCTGTAGACCAGGCTAGCCTCGAACTCTCGAACTCAGAAATCCGCCTGCCTCTGCCTCCCAAGTGCTAGGATTAAAGGCGTGCACCACCACTGCCTGGCTTGGGAAAATTATTTTCAACAAGAGAATTTTAGCCCCACCTAAAAACTCATGACAACAGAAAAAAGGGTTTTCAGACAGGTGGTTTATCAACGTACATACTTCCCATACACCCACCTAAGAGCCACAAGACAACAAGTACCAAGACAAAATGAGGGAGTGAATCAGGAGAGCAGGGGACCTAGGGCTGTGGAACCAGGCTCAGCACTTGCCTGGCACTCGAAATGCTTGTGTACACGCCACAGCACTTGAAGATAGTAATAAAAGGTGGGAAGAAAGACCAAGAAAACTAAAACCAAAGCCAGGCAGGGGGCCTGGCTACTAACAGAAACAAAACTGAGCATGTTCAGGGATGGCTGGGGTTGGGGTGGGGGGTGATTAAGAGTACCTGCTCTATTCTCTGCACATGCACATACACACACACACACACACACACACACACACACACACACACACACACA